CTGCGAACCGCTCGAAGGAGGGGAGGGGCGCAGCCTGGGGAAAAGAAGCATGGTTCTTTTCTGCGTATGTTTTGGGCGCAGTGAAAGGACGGGGAGCCTTCCCCCCCGCATGCCGGCGCTTTTTAGTCCTGTTATTGACCTTCTCTGGTGTGCATGAATTTTTGCATTTCCGCGCTTTTATCTTCCTTATTTATGTGGGCGAAAACATCCCGGGACGCATGTTCGCTCAGAAGGATGGGATGCAAGAAGAATTCGTGGCAACATTGAGGTTGTGGGTGGAGAGGAAGGGGTTTTCTGCGGGCTAATGGGGGGAAACAAATTCCCTCGAGGCGAAACAATTGAAATTGTGCGCAATACAAACTGTGCGAATAATTTTGGACACGATGAGTCCTTTCTTTGGGTAGTGGTGGTGGTGTTTTTGTGCTGCTTTCTCTCTTTCTGTATACATATTCTTTATCAGCAATATTTTCTCTTTTTTTATCTTCTTTGACTGTGTGGGTTGGTGGTGGCGGGAGTGTTTGCTGTGTCATGGATGTCTGTTTGTTCTTTTTCTCCTCCATCATTACATGCAGAGACAATTCACTGTATTTTCCACACAATAAAGTAGTAGTTAAAAAATGGCTCGTGCACGCGCGGTTGAGACACGCCTGGAGAGGTTGCTTCCTTCTCTTGAGGAGTACTTTACAAGCGGACTCCTTACCCACGACGAGACGCAGGATGTGGCGCGCCAACGGACACATTGGGAGTACCGTCTGATCGCAAAGCCACTGCTGCTGCTGGATGTGCAGAATGCCGTGGCATATGAGTTGGGGCTGGAGAAACGGATAGAGGAATACTGCGGAACAACGAAGCTGGTGCTGAAACATCGCTGGGCCGTGCTGGAGCGTATCGAGACCATTTACCGCATTGGCATCAAACATATAAAAGATAGGGATGAGTTAGAACTTTTGCGCAGGGAATTTGTTCAGTTCCTAAAGGCTCACAACCGTCACTCCAGTCTTTCCGCACTCTACGGCGAGCTCATGGTGCGCTACCCGACCCGCAGCTCACTTTGGGTGGAGGCAGCCCTCTACGAAGGTATCGAGATGGGCAACACAGACAATGGCCGTGCCATTGTGCAGCAGGCCGTCCTCACCGCCGGTGCACAACCGGATGTGTGGAATGCCGCATTCCTTCTGGAACTGTACTTTGCCGACCGCCTGCTACAGAAGCTGTTGGAAGAGGGGTCCAAAAAGGAGCAAAAAAGCCCCCCAAAAGACATTGTGAAGGAACTGCGGGAGGAGAACGCGGCTCTGGCCAGTGTGGTGGTGGACCTGGCATTGGTGAAGGCTGTCGTGGAGGAGGCCCTTGAAAGTCCTGCCTGTGGTCCGAATTTGGTCCAGCTGCTACTGGAGAGCGCAATGCGGTTCAGTTTTACCAAGTCAGTTGTGGAGACGCTGATGGCATCCGCCTTTTCAAAAATGCTGTCTGCATTAACGTCGCACGATGGTCCTGCCCGCACTGCATCAAACAATTGGAGCGGAGCAGGGCTTTCCCGTTTTGTGACGGACTTTTTGAGAATCGACGTGATTATGCTTGACCGTGGCGTGATGGGGGATGCCGCATCATTTCTTCGTTCCCAGGGTCGTTTTCACGCGTCCACACCGGCTGAACGCAGGGCAGTTCTTGTGAAGGCGTTTGCTGCGTCTCTGACACTCGCACAAACTGAGAGGATTTCATCATTTTTGGCTTTGGGTGGACTGCGGGAGACGGCGGTTGCGGAGGTGGAGCCACTGTTGGAGGCTTTGCGGGAGTCAACTTCAGCGAGCGGTGTCTCCGCCTTGTGCCGCCGCCTTCTTTCTAACCAACACATCAGCATAACTGATACGGTGAATTGTTTGTGTGGGCGAAAGGATGCGTCTTTTTTGCAGCGCCTGGCAAGCGCAGCAGCTGAGCGGGTGCAGGCGGCTCTGCAGACGGTTCCAGAGGAGTTACCCGTGAAAGTCAAAAGGGCAAGAAATGAGGGAAAGAGCAGCAAGTCGATCACATGGCGGATATGGCGTTTTCTGCTGCCTGATGATCGAAAGGCGGTTGAGTCTTCTGTCTCTCAAGCCGTGACGCGCTTTGTTTCTGGAGACGATGTTGAGCGGTTGGTCCTTTCCCAATGCGACGTGAAGGATGTTTCTGCGGTGGAACATGCCCTGACGCTTTTTCTGCGGGAATTTCACCTTATTGGGGAAAGTGAAGGGATTGAGGGCCTCCATCGACTGCGTTTCCACAAGTCAAAGACTCCCATCGCTCTATGGAAGGTGTTTCACCTTCTGGAGTTGCGTTGCAAGCCGAGGGTGAAGCCCTCCCGCACACCTTCCTCAGTAAGCAGCGAGAGTGATATTGACGACGACGTTGTGGATAAGAGGAGAAGCAAAACCACAAACAACGCAAGCTACGCCTCGGCGGGTCTGAAGTTTCTCGCCGGTGTGCCGCATGGCTCACTGGATCAAGTGGCGGAAGAAGAGCGTCTTGAGGGCTGCTGGGGTCTCTTGTCCGTTCGTGTGCAGACACTAACGGGACTAAAGGACACGACGACCCGCGCCGACTTCATTGCCTGTTTGCAGCGCAATAGTAGCGACATTTGGGTGGAAGGCGTACGTTCTGTTCTTTGCGTGGCTCGGCTGTGCGAACCGCTTCCACGTCAGACACATACTGAAATTACCATTCCGTTCCTTGAGGCAGTGGCGCTGGAGCGGGGAGGAAGGGATGGCGGTGCTTTGCAGGAGGCAAGAGATGCCCACGAACGTCTTTTAGGAATGTACGCCCTGTCAAAGCACCCGAACAGCTTTCTTCCACTTGTGCACCAGGTACCGAGGCGGGCAGAGACGCGCGCAAGAATTTTGCCAGCGGAGCTGAATGCCGCCGATTGGGCTCGACTTGTGGCTTTTGAGCGTGAAGTGGCGAAGGATTTGCCGCGCGCGAAGGAGGCAGCCGTGAGGGCGCGGAGATTGTCACTGGCGCCGCAGCGGCTCTTGGCGATGCTCAGCACTTATTAAGTTTTGGATGCTCCAAATAAGTAAAATCCGTGTAAATGAAACTGTTGTGTATCCGATGAACGCATTCCCCCTTGAAGGAAGTAACCACCGCCCCCACAATGCGCAGGGGGTTGCAGTGGCGTGGTTTCTCACACATTTCACTTTTTTTCCTTTTTTATTTTTTATTTTTTTTTGTAGGAGGAAGCCTCGTGTAGTACTCGCTGGATGCTGGCGCGGGGCGTCGCAATGGCGATGCGCAGCCCAATCGGGGGGATGAAGCGTCGACCGTTCCGAGGCGCACCGGCTCCGCGCCGTTCTGCGTTATTCTCCTCCTCGTCCTTATTACAATTAGAGGCCTTGCTGGTGTTTGGTGAGCCCCATGCGATTGTTGCGGCTTTTCTTCAATCTGCGCAGCGTGAGAATTGTGTTGCTCTGCAACAAGTTTTTTCTTGTAGTGTTTCGACGGATGTTCTTCTTTGTGCGTGTGTCGCCATGGTGACTCCGTCAGGTTTGTGGCCGCCCTTTGTTGCACAGCGTCTGAAGATGCCTCGCGAAGGGAGGGATGCAGACTTGACATCAACTTCGTGGCGGGCATTTGCCTTTGCTCTTGTGCGATGTATTTACTCCGTCCAGAGCCATAATGGTGGGATCTCGGCGCTTGGACTTCTATGTGCAACATGTTTGGCCCCGTCTTTGAAACTCGGTGAGCGTCTTGTTGGATTGTTGTCTGATCCTGCGGTGAATTTGTCAAGAATTAGAGCGAATACGTTGTCTAACTCCAACTTTACTGCAGCGGATGTTGCTACAGCGTTTGCGACATGCTGTTCTATGAACAATGTGAGCCCAGAGAAGAGCGATGCTGCGTGGATGCGGCTATGGTCGGAGATGCAGGCCAGGCCAGACGATGAATTGAGTCCAGCGTGGGTCCGCTGTCATGAACTGCATCTTCTTCGTCTTCTTGGCGCCGGCCGGCGCCAAGAAATTGAGGCGGTGATCCGGAAGATTATCGAAACGCCACTGGTGCGTTGCATTTCGGATGCCACCCTCTCTGAGCTTTTTCTTCTAGAGTCCTTAAGTCCCATGATGCAGGGTAAAATAGTTGCAGCGCTTCTGGAGGTGAGCCGCGTGAAGAGCGAGGCGGCATCAGCCTTTTTTCATGTACTGTCGCCCTTTGAACGCGGCCGCAGACTTCCCAGTGTTACTCAGAGCAGTAGTCTTTTTGCAAAGGTGCTGCACTTTCTCGTGCTTCAGGCGCGTGAGGAACCTTGTTTTAAGAACCACACACGGGTGCTCCACGACATTCAGGGACTTTGCCGCGTCGCTAACTCCTATGCGCTTGCGGCCTCGTTGGTTCCCAATGACAGTCCACTTGCGTCGCTCATGACGGCGTCACTGGACAAGCAACGTGCCCGTTTAATGGCCACATTTGTGGAAGCCGTGACCGAAGTGACAGAGTTGGCTTGTGGACTCACTCACCGCATCGATGGCAATCGTCATGACGACTGCGTAGAGGCCACTCTGCGGGGGTGTGTTGATGTGCTCACGGGATTGTTGTCACTTTGCTCGAACCGCCGCGAAAAACTCCCTCAGAGAAGAGCAGAGCCGGAGTGGAGGAAGCGGCTGCACCGTGATGCCGCTGTTCGCTCGCACAAGTACGAACTACTCTGTTGTGAGCTGCCACACGGCTTCCTTAGTCGGTGTCTTTCCACGCTTCTTTGGAACGGCTTTGTGTGCACAGGCTGCGATCTCGGCAGTTGCCTGGTCTCTGCGGACTTTGTTGATCTTCACTTTTACACACTTGCTCTTCTTGGCTCACTCTACCACGCCACCCTTGTGGCGCCGCAGCAATCCGACATATCGCCGATGATTCATTCATTGTATCGCAGACGACGGGAAGTGTTTGGCGAGGACGTTTCGGCTTTGAAACAATACGTTTCTGCCGCAAACTCATCCGGCCCCGGGCTTGTACAGTGCGAAACGGCGGTGGTGCAGTATGGACTAGCCGAGGCTGAGGCGACTCTCGCTCTACTGCACGCGCGTTCGACTGTGGCTGCCGGTGGCTCCATCGTCATTGACGGCAGCTTTGGTGTATGGCTGCGGAAGGCCTCCTCGACGGTGGTGTGGTATTAGGAGAAGTATGTGTGTGTGGGTTTATCTATTTGTGTCTTCCCCGACTTTTTTTTTTTTTTTTTTTTTGGTTTCACACAACTGTTTGAGAGAATTTCTGTTTTTTTCGCTTACAAAGTTGTTTTGACCACTTCTTCTTTCTCTCCCTCTCTTCTTTTCTTTATTTTTTCTCTCACAGCAACTCCTTGAGCCAACACAATGAAGCTTAACATCGCCTACCCCCGCAACGGGACCGTCAAGCAGTTCGAGATCACCGAGGAGGTGCTCCGCCGCGTTTCGCTGACGGACTACCGTCTCGGCAACGAGGTTGACGGGGCCATCTTTGGTGATGCCTTCAGAGGATACACCTTCAAGCTGCAGGGCGGCTCCGACAAGCAGGGCTTCCCGATGGTGCAGGGTGTCATGGCGCCAAGTCGTGTGTCGCTCCTCGTGAAGCGGGGCGCCGTTGGCTTCAACACCTTCCGCGGGTATCAGGGCGAGCGCCGCCGCAAGTCTCTCCGTGGCTGCATCCTCGCGAGCGACATTGCGGTGCTGAATGTCGTCATTGTGAAAACCGGCGAGCAGCCAATTGAGGGTGTTACCGACGTGTCAGTGCCTCGCCGCCTCGGTCCAAAGCGTGCGAACAAGATCCGCAAGCTCTTCAACCTCTCCCGCGGCGACGACGTGCGCAAGTACGTTATCCGCCGAAAGGTCGTGAAGGAGGGGAAGAAGGACCGCTTCAAGGCGCCCAAGATTCAGCGTCTCATCACGACGGCTGTGAAGGCACGCCGCGCCAAGAAGGCGAAGGTCGCCATTGAGAAGGTTCGTAAGTCTGCCGAGGAACGCCGTGCGTACCTGCATCTAGTCGGCACCCGCCGTCGTGCAGCTCGCCAGCGCAATTCGGCTCGTCGTCACGCACACAAGGTGGCAGCGCAGAAGCAAGCGCTGGCCTTATTCAAGGGCAGAAAGTAGGCAAATGGAGGAAGCTGTTTTTTTTTTTAATTTTTTATTTTCTCATTTTTGTCTTGTTTTGTTTTTTTTGCAATAAAAAAAGAAAATGTCAAAATTTTATAAGAAGGCAACAAAATAATTATGCGGCTGTGCGGGGGGAGGAGTGGGGACCCTCTCGTTGTGCCGCCTTTTTCTTTCCCCATTGCTTGCACGGGAATGCAGATGTATTTATTTATGTTTCTGCCCTTTTTCTAAACGCTTCTTTCTTGTTTTTTTTTTGTCGTTGCAGGTTTAATTCGGGGCGTGCGGGAAGGTAGGGAAGCCCGACGATGTCGCGCCGTGTCTTTGCGCGGAACATGGGCGGCGAGATCTCGTCAACGTGGCGGGGTGGCGGTTCAGAGGCCAATACGATGGGTGTCAATGTTGTCACGTTCGGTGCCACTGGGATTTTAGGCATGCATGTTCACCATCTTTGCTGTTATCATGGGTTCACCAGCATATTGCCGTTTCGTTTCCGTGCAGGTCTTGCCAGTGGCGTGCGAGTTCTTCGTATGGCTGGCGACGGCACTGTCGGACAGAACTTCGACACGGACTATGAGATCGACAAGGAGTTTGTGGTGAAGTCCATATTAGAGAAAGTTGACAATGTCATAAATGTTGTTGGCGCATGGCAGGAGCCGGCTGTGTACGAGAATAGCCAGTCGTGGTTCTCAATGGAGGCGATCAATGTGGAGTGGCCACGTATGCTGGCGCGGTGGTGTCGTGAGATGGGTATTCTCCGCCTAACCCACATGTCGATGGTTGGCGCAGATTTAAACAGTCCGTCAAAGCTGCTCCGACAGAAGCGTGAGGCAGAAATTGCGGTGCTCGAAGAATTTCCCACGGCCACTATCATTCGCGGGACCGATATTTTTTCTGAGAACGATTTCAGTTACTCGAAGTACCTCAAGGCCGAGCGTTACCTGAAGATTGTTCCGGTACCAAATCGCGGGCAACGAATCCACCAGCCTGTGTTTGCCGGTGATCTAGCAGAGGCTGCATGCCGTTCCCTTCTCCTAGACCATACAGAGGGACGCATCGCGGAGTTGGGCGGACCCGTGCGATTCACAACAAACGATTTGCTACGCTGGTGCTCCGAGTGCAACGGTCACTTGCACCTTACATGGCACATGCCAACATGGATGTGGCGCATTGGGTGCGCGTTGAATGAGCGTCTTCCGGTTCATCAGGGTTTTGCCTTGGGTACACGGGCACCAGCATGGAATAAAGACTGGCTTGATCGACAGTTCGTTGACAACTGTGCCACCCCGGAGCGTGATCCAGAGATGTTGGACTGGGAAGACTTTGGTATTCCTCGAGAGGACCTTTACAGAATGGAGGAGAAGTATTTTATCACTTCTACAATGTGGTCGATGGATTCGCCATACTTGGATCTCGCAACTCGCATGTAGTGCAGGGCGTATTCGGTTTATAAGTACTATTATTATTTGTGATTGGGGCTAGAGGTGGAGTATGTGGGGGGTTGGTGGGGAATGGGGGAACGGGATCAATTACTAGTAGTGGAGTAAAATGGGGGTGAGTTGTGACTGCGCTTATCGGTAGGGAGCATATGAATCGGCCATTTTATTTTAATGTGGCTTTTTAAAAAAATGTGTGTGGTCGCGGGTGAGGTGTTTTTTTTCCATTGTTTTTCTCTCCCTGTCTTTTTTATAAGGTTATCCATGTGGCACCGAGCAGGAGCCACTGCGGGAGCCATCTCTGCTCACTCCCCTTTTTCCCATTCGATTTTTTCATCAATGATCTTCACATCTTCAATATACATACATGTACATGTATATATATATATATTGCTTTCTGTGGGGTTTTGTCTTTCCGTTTTTTTTATGTGTGTGTGTGTTTGGCGCGAGGAAGAGAAAAGGGGCTGGGTGGAGGATAAAGAGAGGGGCGGGAATGCGCTACACACTGGCGCCGGGGGCGCTGGCATGTGACTGCCTGAGCTCAGAGGAGCTGCGTCTCTTACGTGACAGTTTCGTTCATCTGGACACGGACGGTGACGGAGTCGTGCGGTTGCAGGATCTGAAGAATGCCTTCAGGGAAGAAATGACGGAATTGGGGTTGCCGTGCACCACTGAGACGCTTGATTTGGCCTCGTATTTGGAGCTTTTTGCTCGGCACGTGGATGTGGTGAGGCGACTCGCGACCAGCGTCTCCGTGGAGCTCTCGGACGACGAGATGCGTCTACTAGAGGTGGTCTTTGATAACATGGACACAAATGGTGATGGCTTCATTGACGAAGAGGAATTATGCAGTGCCCTTTCCGAGAGCCTCGGTAAGTGCAAGGCCAATTATGCCATCATTTGGTTGACAGGTTTGATTATGGCGCGAGTTGGCCGCAATGCTGATAGAAGGCTTTACGCTTCGGATTTCATCCGTGCGCTGCAGGAGAACAACGGTGTGATCCCCAGGCAACTTATCGGTCTTCCGTTAAAATCTCTGGGGGAGCGGAGTCGGCTACGGAGGACTGTCTCCGGCGGTTACGGTGGCATGCTGACTCCTCTGCGACGGTCCTTCTCCCCCTATGGGGTGCTTCTGGTCTTGCGTGTTGCCGAATCGATTTTATGCAACAAGCAAACATTGACAGCTGCGCAGTTTTCTGCCTCTCTGACAGATGGCTTTCTGACCTTGGAGAGATTGCTGGGCTGCGACCCCGAAGAATTGGCGTCGCACATTTGTCGCAGAGCACTTCTTTTGTCTCCTCATGAAGAGACCATTGGCGGTATTAACTGTGGGCACTTTTTGTCTCTCGTTCTGGACGATCCCGGCAGTATGCTTTTGAATGTGCCAACTCCTTTCTCTCGTCTGGAGTCGTCGATGCGTCATTTTGCGGATCTTTCGTACGATTTTGGCCGTCATCTTGCTCTGTCTCTGTTGAGTTCTGGCCCGGACTCTTATACCTTGCAGCAGCTTGACGAGTTGCCGCAAAGGCTGCGGGCCACTTTTCCGGCGTTGAAGGAGGTGGCATTGTGGGATATAGTCCGGTGTTGTACCGCAGCGGCGGAGGTGAAAAGTGAAGGGGTTTTTTCACTTCAGCGGCTTGTTCGCCGACTCACAATTCGGTTCTGTGTGCTGCCTTGTGACTACTCTGGTAAACTTTGGCGGCGGCTTAGTCCCCTAGAACGGTGTCGGATACGCTCCCATTTGGGCCGCATGCATATAGAGGAGTTGTACACCATGTCTCGCCAAAGGGCCCGCGAGCTTGTGAGGATGAGTCTGCTTAGTTCAGAGGACTTTTGGGACCAGGAACATGTGGCTTTGACTGTGGCGTTATGCGTGGAGTCAATGATCTTTTTGCAGAAGATGCCTCCGGAGGAGGTGCGGCGAGCGATGGCGCAGGAGGGTTGGCCACCGTCGGACGATTTGGTAGGAGATGACTGCAGGACGGACATTGCTGTGAGGATGATGGCGGTCAACTTGGGCCGTGAGGGTCTTTCCGCCGTGACTGAATCGATTGTCTGTCTAGACACATCGTGCGACTGCGTCATCAATGAGGAGCTGCTCCTCTCGACTCTCCGCGGCGTGGTGAGGCAGCTGCGACCGCGTTGGAGCAACGCGCAGGTGGATCGGGCGGTCTGCGATGTTGTTTTGGGCTGCGCATTGGTGGAAGACGGCGGGTGCGTAAGTTGCGGCGGCCTCCTGGAGCGTCTGCGGCATATCCAGTAGTCGCAGAGGAGCCAAACAACAACAAAAGCAAGAAAAAGAAAGAGGGATCAAATTGGGTCCGTGCTTTTTCTACTCACATGTCTGCATGGCGCGATTGCAATGCGGGAAAAAAAAATATAACCAGGAGTGGGGGAGGAGAGGGGGAAAAGTAAGCAAGGAACTTAGAGAGCTGAGGGTAAATATCGTTATGACGACGTCAAGGGCTATTCGCTTGCAGTAATGACTGCTGTTCTTCTCGTCTTGCATTTTGTATTATGTCCAGGTTCTGGCTAGAGAGTGTCGTTTTCTTCTGCGGGGTCGCCAGGCAGAAGGCGTTCGCAATTGCTTTTTTTTTTTGTTTCACCCGTTCACGTGTTGAGGCCATTGAGGGCTCCAGCTCTGAACACGCGTAGACACAATTCTTCCTCTGGTGTTTCTCTTTCTCTCTCTCACGCTTTATTCTGTACGTGCGCACACTACACGGGTACAGCAAAGCGATGCGGTCTGCCGAGGCGAACGGAACACCCCTGGGCGCACCCATATTGTGTCAGGTCCGCACTGGGGGCGCAACCGGCAGCCGTTTGGTTGGCACCATTCACATACGACTCAACTCGTCTTTGAGGGATGTTCGGCTGTTGCTGAAGAGTCTTGCAAGCCGAGCTCGTGGGGATGCAGCTGGTCCGAGCGGGTTGGAGGTGCATGGGGCGCCTGTCAACGTGACTCAGGGGGAGTGGAAGAAGGCCATGTCTTACCCACTGCACCCCTTCGATCTCAGTTTGGCCTTTTCGTTTGTCAAGTGTGGCGGATGTTTGCCTATTCAGCAGCATCACGAGGAAAAGTTATTGCTGGTGGACGTCTTTCCAAGACTGCCGCGCGCATGGGGCATGTCCACTGTGGCCGGGTGGATGATGGAACCGACCCCGCCGATGGTGAAGGTTTTGGCGCGGCCAGGGGAGTACGTGCCATATCGCGATGCGCTGGCAGTTGTGTTTATCGCCCAGGGGGAGCCGGAGAACCTTATGCCAGAAGACGTGCTGGTTGAACGCCAGATGCTACAGCAATGCAGCTATGGTCGTCCATACCAGTTGAGGGAACTTTTCACGCTGCTGAATCAGTGGAACGGCAATGTCAAGGATTGCTTTGGGCGCACGGTGCTGCATGAATGCGTTTATCAGGGCCACTTTGAGGCAGTGGTGTCCCTTCTTTCCTTTTCTTTTATTCGAGTCAATGAACAAGACATACAGGGCAAAACACCTTTGCACATCGCGGTCAGAGTCGGCAATGAGTTTGTTGTGTCAAGGCTGCTGGAGGCTGGTGCTGACATTCTTCTCGCGGACAACGGTGGTGACACCGCACTTCATGTGGCGCTTCGTCTCCGCAATGACCGCATCGTGGAATTGCTGTGCAAGCGATTGCGCGCGACAGGCATCGAGGCAAAGAGGCTTTACCTTTGCAAAAACGGCGTGGGCATGTCACCCATGGATATGTTTCAGCTGCATTCTCCGACATTTATCCAGCTCTGCGAGGAGGGCGATGTGGCTGCCATCAAATCTCTATACGACCATTACTTATTTTCACGTGATTCAATAAAAGGGTGCGATGAACTTCTTCACCAGTCGGCACTACATGTGGCCGCTGCTTGTGGGCATGTGAATGTCCTCAGATTTCTTTTGGATGAGCTGAAATTTGGGCTTTTGACGGATAAACAGATGCTTAACAGCCGATCGCAGACTCCCATGCACCTGGCGGCCGAGAGAGGCCAAATTTCGGCGGTGAGAATTCTTCATGAACGGTACCCGTGGTTTATTTCTGTGCGGGACATCACAGGCGCCACGCCGCTTGTGGCGGCCCTAAGGAGAAGGCAACATTCAGTGGCCGTGGTGGACTACCTCATTTCGATATTGCCGCGCGGGTCTGGCGCAATTAACGCATGTGACAACAGTGGGATGGGCGCACTGCATCTGCTTTGCGAGCTTGGGATGACGCTTGCAGCTAATTCTCTCATTGTTGATCATGGCGCAGATGTCACGTTGTCGTGTTCATGCGGGATCGTGTCTTCGAGATATCTGAAAAAGACACGGATATTGCCACGGCTTTCAAAACGTGCTGGGGAGGCGTCAACAAGGCAGGTGGTGGGGGAACAACAAGGACTGACACCACTTCTCTGCACTCTCCGCGGGGGGCGTGGCCACGTGAGTACAATTGAGATGTTGTTGTCTCACGGTGCAGGGACCAGAGGGGACGAGGTTGTTGAGCTTCTTTTCTACCTGATCACAAAAGGACACTATGAGTTTGCAGACCGTGTGGTCGCGTCTGGTGTGGGGAAGTTAACATCTTCGAATGATCTGCTCAGTCGTTTTTGCCATTTGAATCACGGCGTTGGTATTCGATGGTGTATTGAACGGGGTTGCTGTAGCTTAAACTCTCCTGAGGGCGGCTATCCGTTGCTAGTGAGTTCTGCGCTAGGGGATGTTGAGGCTGTGAGCTTCTTCTTGTCACGTGGGGCTGATCCAAATGTTACTGCAGACGGAAAGACTCCTCTATTGGCTTCCATAAACGGTGGGCATCACGCTGTCGTAGAGCATCTCGTGAGAGCTGGTGCGAGGCTTGTAGCTTCTGATGGCTCCTGGACAGCGCTGCGTGCTGCCGCAGAGAGAGGCGCCGAGTCAGTCGTTCGGGCCCTACTTGGACTCCATGTGCTTTCACCCCTGGTGGTTTCCCAGACTTTGGTGCACGCAATGGAGAGTGTTCGTGGAAGGAAGAGTATTACTTGCGAGCGGGTGTGTGTGCACCTTGCGGGATTTCTGGATCTTGCTTCACGTGAAATTATGCACCCCACGGAGCTTCTTCATTTGGCAGCGAGCCGTTCCCTTTTTGCCGTTGTGCGGGTGCTGGTGGAGAAGCTTCTCGCACTGCCAGCATTATTTCTCCGTGGGATTTTGAATGATGCTCCACCACCACCTAACAGAATGTTTGTTCTCATTGAGCCGACAGTGGCGCCGTTGCGGGTAAAGGCTTCCCGTCTTGTATCAGTGAAGGGCCGACGGGGACTTTATACCCCACCAAAGCCTTTTAAGCGTCTAGTCATTCAAAGACGGGAAGCAGGGGTACTGTTCCACCGTCTGCGGCTTCGTGACGTGTATAGCTACTGTGCTGAAGCCAATGAAGGAGAGCTCCTGGAGAAGCTCCTTTTGGATGTGGGGCTGAAACCCTGGGCTGGACCAGATTATCGTGGCTGGAATGCCGCGGATTATGCGGCTGATAAGCAGCTGGCTAATGCTCTCCGCATGTTCCTCGTTGTTGGTTTGGCTCCATGTCGCCGTCATGTGGTTTGCAGCGGAACACGAATGGGAGCACTCTGTCGTTCCATAACGTGCGCGAATGTGAACGTTGACGAAGCGGGTTTGTTGTCTTCCGCTCTTTGTGATTTAGCGGCCGCGCAGGAAACGACGTTGGTTCGGCAGATTTTGACAGATACATGTAGATTTCACAATTTGTCGGATCTGAGTGGTGCGGGTGCGTGGCTGGATGAATTGATTCTCTGCTGTGTTCGTACTCGCTGTCTGGATGTACTGGGAATATTGGAGGAGGAGTTCCAGGTGCCGTTGAAGAAGCGTCTGAGTCTTTCGGTACAGCCTTTGCTTTCAGCTGTGGCGTGCCGTGATGTGAAACTTCTCGCGTACCTCATTCTTCACGGAACACCTGTCGATTTAATAGGTTCCATTCCTGCGGTGGGCGGAAATGAATTGCGCTCACTTGCGCGCGAAGAGCGCGAAGTGTCTCCTTTGTGGTTAGCAGCACGACTCGGTGATATTACGGCCATGGAGCTTCTTCTTTCTGTTGGGCCATTGTCGCCGGCGCAATGCACAGATTCTACGGATTTCTGCCGGGACGCGCTCAAGGCTCTCGTCGATGGAGCCCCGCGCAGACCCTCGAAGGCGCAGGACACTTTGATTGCCCAAGGCGTGGTAATGCTGGCTCGGGCCGGGCACGTGTACACCTTGCCAAGCATCATGCGGGTTGCTGCAGGAAAGGGGCTGGTACGGACCGTGGAGAGTTTGATAGATTGCTATGGACCACGTACAGTTACAGAAGATATTGTTTCCAGTGGTCTCTGCTCTTTGCATTATTTGGTTGGTAGGCCGGCACTGAGCAGGTTGCTGCGGTCCTCGTTGCTGCTTGTAGCAGACGTTGGTTCCGTTTACGTTGAAGCCAGTCAAAATCTTCTTGCGACGATACAAACAACCAAATTTACAGTGAATCCTGTGGACTATGCTCTCAGAGCAGGCTGTTCGGAGGGCGCGCTGCTTCTTCTTGGCCTGGGGCTATGCGGGGGTGGAGGAAGGAAAGAAAACTGCGACCCCAAGATTTCCCGCATTGTGCGTCTTTGTGCTGCAAGACGTGCGGCGCAAGGAGAGGGTGGTTACACAGTTCTGCATGCGGCTATGGAGCTGCAGTACCATGAGATCGCTTACAAAATTTTGAATGAGCGTGTACTTCTGCAGCACGTTGATAGATCCTCCATGGAAGAAAAACGCACCGATAACACGCCATCTTTTGCTTCTCTCATGAACTTCTATTTGGATAGGGCTCACCGGCATCTGCTGTTATCACCAGGGGTGCCAGCACCCATGAAAATTTCTCCATGCGACATGCCATATCTCGTTTTTTCTGAATCTTTCGATGATGAAGGTTACCGGGAAATTGTACGGCTTTCCGCTTTGGACGGCGGTCTGGAGCAAACGTTGGATTTATTACATGGTGGTTTGCCCATGGCATTTGTGTGGCATCTTTTCTCCCGCCACAGGCATTCTTTTTACTTTGGTAACCGATTTTTTGGGACCATGGAGCTGACGCCCATGGGCTGTGCTGTGGCGGCTGGAAATCTTCCATGGGTTCGTTTGTTGGCGTACACTGGTGTGTCCACCTCCAACTGTAACTCCATCGTTGCCGGTATAAAGCGCGGAAAAGCATACTCGCTGGTTCAGGTGCCAATACCACCGGTGCATAGAAAGGTGGGGGTGCAAGCAGAGGCGAGGAGACATGTCTGTCGTAAGGAGGAATCATATCCTGTGAACTTCACGGATGAGCGTCACCATGTTAGTCCACTTCTTCTTTCGATGGCAATTATTGTGGAGACCTCTTGGGCCGGTGATGCCGAGGGGCTGCTGCGGCAGTCGCAGGTCATGCGGTTTCTTCTTAGTTGCGACCAGTGTCTTCGGCGGGAGGAGTTGAACCCGCTTGCGATTGCCCTGGCAAAGTTGATGCTTTGGGATCTTCTTGAAGCTCTTGTGGCGGCGGCAAGGAAGTTGATAGATAACCCCTCAGAAGGTCGTTTATTCTGCACCATCCACGAGGCGGAGGTGCCACCCATCATTAAGAGAGCGATTGGAACCTCACGTCACGTAATGCATGTGGCAGCTCGCTGCGCCCCCAGGGAAATCCTCATGCTTGTTGCGAAACATTCTCAACGTGCAGACATTGAGGAGGCATGTGATGCCAAAGGAAAAACGGTACTGTTTTACGCCCTTCATCACCCCTGCCGATTCGCGTTTGAAGTTCTTGGAGGTTTGCGTGTTCCCACGAATGTACAGTGCTGCAGGAGGACGGGACGCACACTTTTGATGCTTGCGTGTCAGCGCGGCCAGTTGCCACTTGTCATGGCACTTTTGAAGAAGGCGGAAATGAACACCAGGGACCGTGACGGTAATACGGCGCTTTTGCTGGCCGCCGCTGCGGGTCGGGCGGAGATTGTGGAGCATCTTCTTGCGAATGGGGCCGATCCATCTGTTAAAAATAGGAAGGGAATGACGGCTGTTATGGCGGCAGCCTTTGCTGGCCATGATGACATTGCCGTTCCTTTGGCCGAAAATTTTTCTACATTAGATGACTTCTTTTCCCCGCAGACAACGCTGTTGCACTGTGCGGCTGTAGGCGGCTGTCACCGAGTAGTGTCAGCCTTGGTGGATATGGTGGAGAAGATAAACATATGGGCGGAAGATGTGGGCGGTTTCACGGCCGTTTATTTGGCCTACGCCTTTGGCAATGCTTTGGTTCTTCGGACACTGTTAAGTGCCGCATTGAAATACGGGGTTGAGCCCGCCCCATCCTTACATTTGGAGCGTCAGATATTTATTTGTTCTTCCACGCTGCCGCGCTACGGCTGGCTCAGACGGGTGCTGCGGGTGGGCGAGGTTGTACTCGATGAATCCCGTCAGCGTTTATTGTGCCAGTCCGCCACACGACCAGGCGAGATGACGTACGGTAACCCCACAAGTTTTAGGTGTTTTCGCACTTCTTTACTCCTTTGGTGTGTTTGTAATAATAATGCTGTGGGTGTGCGTGTGTTGGGGGAAATGAACAGTGCAGATGACTGTGGTGCTCTTCATGAGGCAGCCAAACGAGGACACATGGGTGTGGTGGAGCTCCTTTTGAAACTGGAAATGAGTGATCCGAACGTTCTTGATGGCACAGGGAGGTTGCCTTTTGAGGTGGCCGCGGCACATCGTCATGTGGCTTGCGCTTCTCTGCTGCTTGCGCGTACAAGGCTTGACATGAAGCATTTAAAGGCCCCGGCTGCTGGAGGCACACAAAGTGCCCTTCACCGCCTTGCTTCTTCCGGGGGAGCCGAGACCCTTTTCGTGCTGGTGGAAGCGTTTCAGGGAATGAACAGGCCCGATTGGTCCGTGGTTGCATCTCAACTTCTTGATGCTTTGGATATTCCCGACTCGTCCGGGATGACGGCATTTGAATCTGCCGTGGCGATGGGGGACCCTGCTGGAGTGCTTCGTGTGGCCCAGGTGATTCGTCGACTTGCATTGGCATCAGGTCGAAAAAAAGCCCTGAGCGTTTCAAACTCTATTCTCTCACACCTTCCCTGCATGTCTCCTGCTGTGCGAGTTCTTTTATACGACGTGTTTGGCATTTTAGAGGTGGCCATGTGCGTTGGGTTTGAACAGGAGAAGCGTGTGGGACGGTTGGCGTTTGCCGATGTGCGATTGATTGGCGCGAACGCGTTAAGAGAGAATGCCTTTTGCGCCTCTGAGGTGGCGGCGGCATTCACGCTGGAGCATGAGATATCCGTTGCTTCCTCTCTGCTTAAGGGACTGCCCTTCAGGATCAGGTACATTCCGCGCTCTCTTGAGACAAGGAGTGCGAGTCAGCAGGTTCAACTTCTTCAGTGGCTGGAGTCTTCGCTTATTCTTTCAAACTACGAAAACTGGGGCGTGGAAAAACCCCTTGAAACGATAGAACTGGAACTCGTGCCGCACCGCACGGATGAGTTTTTAGAGATATCGAACATGTACTTGCGGCATTCGGTGTACATGGATTCCCGTCGTCTGCTTACTCCAAATCTTCATGCCAAACTTCGCTTTGCATCGAGGAGTGAGGCGTTGAGGCTGCGGACTGTGACTGAAGAGCGATGCCGTTTGTTAACACTCAAAATGCGGCAGCTTCCGCATCCTCTCATGTCGAGGGGACGAGTCATGGTGGAATGGGGAGATGGTAATGATGAGGTGACCGTCGAGACTGTCACGCGTCTAATGGATGATGGTCTTGCGAGGGTGGATGCGTTTTTCAGTGGGAAGCTGAAAGATGCCCTCATTGGTGTCTCCATGGCTGATGTTGTCTCCGTGACTGCAGCGACGGATCGGACCATGAATGCGTTTTACATCAGTTTTCGTTACACACGCGAGACCATACGGAGGCGCCATTACACTTCTTCGGAGGGTGGGCTCGTCATTATGTTTAATGATAACGCGATGCAGGACGTGGACCGTGTGCTGCACTTGGCTCTTTACAGGCAAGTCGTGGCTGACGTGAACCTCGTGGGTGTTAGTTACGTCCGGGATGCGTTCCTGGCAGATGTCCGACGTCTTGCTGGCATGCAGATGGGTGACGATGCGACTAGCTTTAAGCTGGAGGTTGAAGGTGGCACCTTGGACGAACTCCCGCTGCACCTGCTGGAGGCCATGATGAGTGACGCGGCCGAGGCCCTCGCGTCGTTGATTACAGAATCTTTGGCGAACATGTGGAATTTTCACTCTTCAAAAATTGTGAGTGATTTTTTGAAGCTGAGCCTGCACTCTGTGGTTGTTCTCTTTTCGCCGGAACGGCGCCCCGTAGCGGAGTTTTCAGAGAGAAAATTGATGTTGTGCCTCAACCTTCAACTCGCCCCAACGCGATGTGAAATTTGCGAGGGACTCCGTCGTGGAGCGCTGGCGGGCGAGATTGAGCGATTGAGGGGGGAGCTTCCCCGCGTCATTGCCACCGTGGGTCAGCGTCTCCAGATGCGCCTTCCGACAACGACGTTTGTTCTAGACTCTGCCTCCTTACTCGAAGGTGAGGATGACGAGTACGTTGTATCGGCGCTGAGTCTCTTGTGCTACAATTGTGGCGCTCTTGTGCTGCAGCCCCTCATTGACGGCGTTTCCATGGGGTGGGACACCCGCTTGGGTTCTGTGGTGCGTCGCCATGTGCGCCAACTCACCCTGGTGCTGGGGTTGTTTGGAGGTGGCAACTGTGTGCTGTACGACAGCGGAAACTTTGTCTATAATTGTCCGCTGTTTTCTCTGGAGCGAGGCGTGTACGCAACATCCTCATGGTATTTGCTTTCCTCGCAGCAGATCGCATCGCTGCTTTTGATGCAGCTTTCTCTTGTGGATCCTTCTATATTTGGGCTCGTCAACACCTCTAAACCCCTCGCGTGTTGGTCACAGGCACACGGTGTTTGCACCCGACTTTTGAGTGCCGGATGCCAACGTAATGTTGTGAGAATGACGACACGGAACATATTCAACCTCCGATTGGGACACGCCGTGAGCGAGTCCAGCCTCGCCTTCATTGGCTGCTGGCGTTCCATCAAAGTTCATGAGGCAACCGGAAGGGTGCACTTCACCGCCCCGACGAAAGCTGGATATTACGAACAACAAATTCTGATGGGCGGGCAGCCGATATTGAAATCACCCCTGCGTATTCGAGTGAGGCCGCTTGCGGTGCATCTGCCCAGCACAAAAGTGCTTTCGAACTTCAACACCGTCGTTGTGGGGCGCCCTTTTGACATTGTGCTTTTGCTCCGGGACAAGTACGGGAACAGAATAGAGGCACCGGAGAAGATTGTTGTTTCTCCCGTTACGGCCGGGGCCGCAAGGATAATGTCGTGGAGACGCTCTCGTGTGGATATGATTGAGGTGAGGGTTGTGGTGGCGGATGTGTGCGACAAGTGCGCTGTGCCCATTCGACTGCGTGCCGCAGATGAGGGCGATTTCGAGTTGCTCTTCCCAGTGGAGAGCGTCAGCGAGCAAACGTATCATTGGGTTTGTCTGCTTCGTGGCGGCTACACGTTGGACTGGGAAAAACGATGCCGTGCAAGCAAGACGAAAGCAACAAAAACATTGTCGATGGCGGGGAAGGCGTCCGATCGCGTGAAGTATTTTTTTAGGAGGACCGTCCGTGACGCTGAGCGACGCCGCCTTGTGCGTGACGCCAAGTTGATCGGCGGCCTCTTGAATCGCGTGTTTCCCCCACGGCGACCGAACGACGGCAAGAACGGCAATAGCAAAAAAAGGGAAAAAGCAACGAGGGACGAATATCCGAGTAGGAAGAGGAGGGTTTGCGTGGTGATGGGAGGCGAGTCCGAGGCGAAGGAGGAAGAAGTGAGCAAATGAACAGAGAGTGCGTAGTTGAGGGGTTTTGATGGTGCGGCTTTTTTGCCTACTCAGACAGGTGAGAGGATGATGATGTATATATGTGTATTTGTGTGTGTGTGGTGCTTATGTTTCTTTGTTGTTTTGTGTTCTTTTGCTCTCTGTTCTTGATCTCCCTCTCTATTTTTCCCTTTTTGTGTATGGCTGCTTAGAAGCCAGGAAGGATGGTGAAGCCGTTCGTTCAGAAGAGGATCGTGAAGAAGCGCACGAAGAGGTTCACGCGCCACAAGTGCGAGCTCTTCCCGCAGCTCAGCAGCAGCTGGCGCAAGCCCCGGGGTGAGGATTCACCGGTCCGCCGCCGCTACAAGGGACAGAAGGCGATGCCCAACAAGGGTTATGGTAGCGACCGCAAGACGAAGTACATCGCCCCGTCGGGATTCAAGAACTTCCCCATTCACAACGTGCAGGATCTCTACATGCTGCTCATGCAGAACCGCAAGTACGCTGGTGTCATCTCCCACACTGTGGGAGCCAAGTCGCGCAAGGCTATAGTACGTAAGGCGCACGAACTGGACGTGCGCCTTATCAATGGAAACGCCAAGCTCCGGAAGGTCCTTCAGTAAAATTTTTGTGAGGGGGTGATGGATGCCGGGGGAGGGAACGGGGTTTTCACGCCTTCTTTCTGTGCTTTTCTTTTTTGGTGATTTTTTTTTTTGTTTTCTCCACTCGCTCAGTCATTCTTTTTTTTTTCCCGCTTCATTGTCGCTTTTTTTCGTGTTGTTTTTGCCCTCCTCCGTATGCGGCTTGGAGGGGGGCAGTTACGTTTTTGGGCCTCAAGACACGTGTCTTGGTGTCTCCTCCCGTCTTTCTTTTTCTTTCTGGCTATTTATTTTCCCGTTGTCAGCGCAGTGATGGAGCAGTGCGTTGCCATTGCGGATTACGAGGCGGGTGACTCTGATGAGATCAGTTTCCGCTGCGGCGATGTCATTGCGGTGACGGCGAAGGGAAGCACCTCCGGCTTCTGGGAAGGATTTGTGGTGACACCGGGCCACGGGCACGACGCCGCGAAGGGATCCCGCGGTCTTTTCCCCAACTGCTTTGTTTCGTCCAACATGCGGCCTCAAGAGGTACCCACCTTCTGCAACAGGGCTCTCTGCCTGCACGACTACAAGGCGAGGGATGAGTCAGAGATGTTCTTTAAAAAGGGAGACCTTCTCCAACTGATTCGACCGGGCGCATCGTCGGGGTGGTGGTTTGGCGTCAATGAAAGCGAGATGGAACGCCTGGGCAAGCAGAAGGAGACGGGGAGCGAAATTGCCCGTGCATGTGGATCGATGGCGGAACCGCGCCTGCTACCGAGCAACTTTGTGACATGCAACATTGTTTTTGCCGCCTTCTCCTTCGAGGCACGGCAGAGGCATGAGTTGATGTTTGAGGTCGGCGACGTCATTCAGGTGTATCGCAGATGGAATGACGGGTGGTGGGAGGGAACTTTGCGGGGTCGTCGCGGTATATTCCCGAGCAACTACACACTTCCAAACGTGGCCACCACCACACCTCCCTTCTTCTGCAACACCTGCAAGTCCGTGTTTGTGGATGACTCGCTCCACTGCGAGACGTGTGCCAAGGCGGAAAATGTCACTCGCTCCATGATCACTGCCCTGGATGACTATGCCCTGGGGAAAATGAGCAAGCTCGATCTCTTTGCATATGTGGACGTTGTGGGTGCAGAGGCTCCTGTAAGGGGAGCGTGCAGCGCAGGTGAATGATTTGTTTTCTGACCTGCTGGCGTTCGCGGGCTGCGCATGCTTTTTCCTACCGTCTTACTTTCTTCTTTTTTTTCCACTGTGGCTGCTGCCATAATATCGTTCCGTGCAGACAAGCGGACAGCTTTTCTTTCTCTTTTTATTCATGCATTCTTTCACAGCCATGCCACTCGAACACACAGAAATGCGCACAGACTCACGCTTTCTTTCTTTTTGTTTTTGCGTATGTCTTATGTGCTTCTTGCAAACTTTTTTTACTGGACGTTTTTATTCGTGGAAGGTAAATTGTAGAATTCGTAGGGCCGTGCATAAATATTAAAAATATAAACAAATATATATATCTGGGGAGGAATGGCTTCGAAGAAGAGTGTTTCTTTTTCTCCCGTGCACACCATGCCCCATGAGAGGCAGGTGGAGCTCTTGTCGGAGGCTCTTTTGAGAGAGTACATGCATAAACGAAAATTTAAGGAGACACTGGAGACGTTTGACGTGGAACACCCCCGTGACGGTGACACCATCGCATCACGGGCTCTTATGTCGGATCTGATGGCACTTAGCCCCGAGACGCAGCGAGCACTAAAGGTTGAGGGAGTGGAAACGATCATGGAAATGCTGTGCTTTCTCCGTGTGCAGCGTCGAATGAAACTAGAGGATCTGAAACAGCGGGCCTCGATTGAGGTGCCAACAACACCTGAGAAGCTGAAGAGAAGTAGAAAAGACAAGAAAAGTTCATTGGACAAGTCACTTCACGAGAGTTCATTGAGTGAGAAGCGCTCAAAAAGAGAGCGAAGTGACGCCAGTAGGGGGAAAAGGCTGACTGACAGTAACTTTGGCAGCAATAGCACTCGTAGTAGTAGTCGTAGTAGTGGTGGTAGTAGTAGTGGGGGCAATAACAGCAGCGACCACAGCAATGGAAGGAAGGGTTCTAACAAGCGAAACAGCATCGGTTTGGGTATTGAAGGTGAAACAGCGAGCGAGCAACGGAGGCGGGAGGAATGGATGAATGATGAAATAGGGGCCACTCTGGGAAAAGGAGCTGCCCGCTCCATCATGGAGTTGATGTGTAGTGGAATTGCCTTTCCCTCATCGCTTGTGGAGTTTGGTTTTGTATTTGGGGAGGAAGTAGAGTATGGTCTTTTGCAGGAGAATAAAGGCCCTGAGGGTTTGTTGGCAGTGGTTCAGGCTTTTATTTGCGCATACTTTTTTAGGGGAGGTTATATAGATGTTCAGCGGCACCAGCAGTACTGTCTTCTGAAGGCTCTGGCCACGATTCTCTCCATTGCCCAACCAAATCCACGTCGTGTGTGTCTCGTGGATGGATCGGTGAAGGCGGATTCGGCAGAGGTGGACATGACGCATTTAAACGTCCAAAGGAATTTTTCCACCGGGCAACAGGTTGAGGACGCTCTTTTTTCACTATTGGAGGTCTGGACACAACCGAGGGGATCGGGTGTCTTCTGCTTCCTCCTCTCCGTGCTGTTGTCCCGTGGACTCAAGAAAGTCTCTTCTGCCGTGGGACGTGCGGCGACATTGATTGACCGTGAAGGTCGTTGCTCGGCCACCCTAACGAGACTGTTGCTGCTTGGGGAGGAAGACGCTGCCACTCCTGGTGATGTGCTGAGCAGCCTGATGATGGATGCGAGCAAGGGAAGACTGGCTTGCGGGTATGCCTCGAGCGGCCCAGATGACACGGCGCTGGATGACGAGGGGGCGAAGACCCCGCAGCATCCCGTGTGGGTGGTGCACCACGAGGGCCGTTTTGTTGTTCTCTTCCTAAAAAAGGATGATCGCTCGCAGTTCGAGAAAAAGAAGGAAGCGGGAATGGCCGCTGCTTCGGATGTCTTTTTTTACGAGCCTTCCGCGGAGCATCGAGGCGAGAAGTTCCTCACGGTTTCTTTCAACATTGCGCCTGTTACGGGGTGGAGGAAAGAAGGGGACTCCTCGTTTCTTCAAGATGCCGTCCGCAAAATTACAATTTGGCACGACGGAGACATCGACTGGAACGGCTTTGAGCCCGCGTTTTGAATTTTCCCGCGCTGAACTCGCTTGGCTTCTGATTTTATTTTGGCGGCTGTTTTTTTATTTTTATTTTTTTGTTTGTGTTGCTTTTCTTGTCTTTCACACTCTTTTTTTTTTTAAATCTTTTCTTCATGCGTGCGGCCATTGCTGAAAAGACTTTTTTTTTGAGAGTTTTTTTTTTTTTTTGTGTGTGTGTCCTTGAGAGTGTATAGGGTCAATCTTTCCTGCGGTGTGGGGTGTGCTGGGCTGATTGAGTCAAGCTGTGATTTTGTCCTGTTGTTATTTCTTGTTGAAGGAGAAAAGGGGCAGGGCGGGAACACGAAGAAGGAATAGGAAAAAAAGAAAAAAAGAAGGAAAAGGGTGCGGATCCTGTCACGGCCAACCCACTCGGTGCATTAAGGTAATCAGAAGCAAGCATGTCGGATTTGAAAGAGCTAAGCATAAAAGAACCCCTTGACGGCAATGAGGTTCCTGCAGAGGAGCGGGAGGCGCTTCCGGAAAAGTACAGCCCTTCGAAAAACTGGTGGACCTTCGATATACCTCATACTCTTTCTTTGGTTCAGCTGGACGATATGTGCAATGGCGTTTCCTATGATGATATTCCGCGACGCGCGAGGGAACTTGGAGGCAACAAAATTCCCATTTCCGGTGGACCGAGCGCTATTTGGATTTTATGCAGGCAGTTTATGAACAGCATCACTTTCATTTTGGCTATTGTGATTGTGATTAGCGCTGTTTTTAGGGATTGGGCGGAGTTTGGAGTGGTGCTGTTTATTCTTTTGTTTAACGCCTTATTGGGGTTTTATCAGGAGTACGGTGCGGAAAAGTCACTTCACAGTCTGAAGGAAATGACGGCGGGCAGTGCGAAGGTTCTTCGCGATGGCGCCGCTGAAGTGATTTTTATTGATGAGGTTGTTGTGGGCGACATCGTCATTTTGGAACAGGGTGCCTCTGTGCCGGCGGATTGCCGCCTCGTGGAGAACATCGGACTGGAAGTGGACGAGGCTCTGCTCACGGGTGAGGCGCTGCCTGTGGTGAAGCACACAAATGTTATCCCGGACCCGGATGGTCTATGTGCACTGGGGGACCGCAAGAATATGGTGTACCGCAACACATTGGTGACACAGGGTCGCGGGAAGGCGGTTGTAGTTGCCGCTGGCCTGCATACGGAGGTGGGAAAACTTGCTGAACGTCTTGTGGACAATTCGGGCTCTGAAAAGACGGCGCTGATGAAGAAACTAGATTATCTGATGTATTTTCTCTTTGGTTGCTGTTTCTTGCTGGCCCTTGTTGTGTTTGCCGCAAACAAGTTTAAATACAACCCGAGCACATTGTCGTACGCCACAGCAGTTGCCATTGCCATTCTTCCTGAATCCCTGGTGGCGGTGGTCACGGTTTCCATGACGGTCTCTGTCAAGATAATGGCAAAGCAGAAATGCATCGTTCGAAAATTGGCGGTCCTGGAGGTTCTCGGCAACGTGACGGACATTTGCTCCGATAAAACCGGCACGCTGACGGAAAACAAGATGGTGGTCAAGAAGGCAGTCATTGGAATGAATGAAGAACTCATCGTTACGGGAGCCCCATATGAGAGGCATGGCCTCTTTCTAGACCGAGATTATGAGCAGATGGACTTGGTGCAGGCATACAGGACCAACAAACTGCTCTATGAATTTATGCGCTGTGCAGCCCTGTGTAGCACGACCGTCTTGCAAGTCGATGCGGACGATGTGGATCGTCTTACTGGAGCTGGAAACCCCACGGAGGTGGCTATTCAGGTGATGTCATGGAAAGCCGAACTTTACCGAGATCGATTGGAAAAGGAAGGATGGGAATGTATTGCAGAATACCCTTTTGACTCAAAAGTCAAGCGCATGTCGACTGTATGGTACAATGATAAAAAGGGGGAATTCTATATCTGCACAAAAGGCGCTCCCGAGCGTGTAATTGATCTTTGCACCACAAGGCTTTTGGAGTCGGGAAAACTTGTTGCCTTAACAGACGCGGATCGCCAGACGGTAGGGGAAAAGATTCAATCACTGGCATCCGATGGACTCCGCACAATTTGTTTTTCAATGAGACCATGCACCGTGGAGCAATTTCCCATTCCTACTGAAGGAACCTTTTTGGCCACCCACAGCCGGGAGGTGATCGAGCAAGAATTGGCGTTTCTTGGGATTGTTGGCATCTATGACCCTCCACGCCCGGAATCGCACCCTTCCGTCGTTGCCTGTCAACATGCCGGTATTGTGGTGCGCATGTTGACCGGGGATCATGTAAAAACGGCGGGATCTATAGCTATCATGCTTAATATCATAAACAGGCGTGATATTGACAGCGGCACGAAGCTTCTTAATGGGCCTGACTTTGACCGGATCGAAATGGAGGCCATTGATGGCTGGGATGATCTTCCACTCGTCGTTGGGCGATGCTCACCGGAATCGAAGGTTAAGATGATTGAGTGCCTCCACAAGCGTAACCGGGTGGTGGCAATGACAGGGGATGGGTTCAATGACTCACCAAGTATTAAAATATCGGATGTTGGCTGTGCGATGGGCTCCGGCACGGATGTTACCAAAGGCGTTGCGGATCTTATTATCACAGACGATAATTTTGCCACTATTGTAAAGGCCGTGGCTGAAGGTCGACGCATTTCACAGAACATACGGAAGTTTGTTGTGCATCTTCTTTCTAGCAACGTTGCGGAAGTTATTGCACTCATCTGCGGTCTTCCTATTCGTAGTGAAGGAGCTTCTTTGTTTGTGCTGTCACCCATTGAAATTTTATGGTTAAATATGTTTACTTCCGCCCCACCCGCAATCGGACTGTCGTTGGATGCCGCAAGTGCTGATGTACTTCTTTTGCCTCCGAATACGGCTGGTCTTTTCACCTTTGAGCTGGTCTCTGACACGGTAGTGTACGGATTTTGGCTTGGTGTATGCTCCTTGTGCGGATTTGTCTTTATTGTGTACGGCGTGCACGACGGTCCATCCGGCAACAATTGCAACTCGCCAAATGGGGTTGGCTGCAATGATATTTGGCGAGCACGTGCCACGGCCTTTGGAATTTTGTACTTTGGTTTGTTGCTGCACTCATACACCGTCCGACACTCTCGACTGTCTGTTTTCCTCATGAAGTGGTTTGACAACTTTTGGATTTGGGGCTCCTTTGCCGTCGGGGTCATTCTTTTTTTCCCTATTGTGTACGTCAAGCCCGTAGCAAATGGTCTTTTTGTACATGACATGCTTACGTGGCACTGGGGTGTTCTCGCCGTTCTCATTATATTTTTTATGGCCATGTGCGAGGTGTACAAAGTTCTGAAGAATTGCTTCTTCCCGTTGAAAAAGGTATCCGTGGCACCAGACGAGGAGGCGATGCAAGAGTACCGACGCTTTGCTGTTGCAGGGGAGGATAGCAGGGACGTTGAGAGTATCGCTGAGGAGCAGTTGCGTATGTCATTTGCATCCTATGCCGGCAGCATCGTTAGTGGGGGCACGCACAACATGATGAGCGAGAGGAAAAAGAAGAGGCGTTAGGCATCACTGTTGTGGGGGCATTTTATTTTATTAAACTTTTTTTTTCCCCCTTCATGAGTCCGTTTTTTGAATGCCCTTTTTTAAATTTTTACTTATTACGCATCTGTTCCTGCCTTTACCTGCAGCAGTGTCTGTGTACATGTATATGGCCCCAGGGTGGAGGTGGCTTTACACCACCATCACCATCGCCACCTCGTGTTACATTTTAAACAGACGCAATGCCTCAACAAGGCCCCTTGTAGACAAAGTCCGAGCGAAAAACAACAACAACAACAACAACAACAACGAAACAAAGGAAGGGGAGAGTTGGGGCGAGCCGGTAAAAAGAGGTCTTATGAGGATAACAGTGACATGAAAAAACATCAATATATATATATATATATTAATTTGGGCTCCGCGGTGGTTTAGTTGGGCGGAAAACAGGGCAAAAGGGGAAATGGGAGGGACTGAGGCGAGGTGCGTTTTCTTCTGTCGCCATTGCCAAGAGGGCGCCGCGGCCCACGGCAGCCCGCATGCGAACGGAACGCGGAAAATGGAGGAAAAGGGGGAGCGGATTAAATGTGAAGTAAAACTGCACGATTGTCACGTGTTTATTATTATTCTCATCAGCACTAAATGATGACGCGAACGAAATGAAGTGTAGATGCGTAAGAAGAGAAGTTAGAGAGGGCTGTGTCCTTCTGTGGGATTTGCCTGGGAGGAGGCGGGGGGTCGGTGGGCCCTGAAGGGTGTGCAAGGGACATTAATTCGGCGAGGAGAAATATACACGGTAGGGCGAGGATGCGGCAATATAACTTTAATAAGAGCGCGAGAAAAAGAAAGAAAAAAAAATGCAAAAACTGAATACAGAGTGTAAATGTTTATTTGTAAGCTTTGGTTCGAATACAAATTATAGTGTATTTTTAATACCAGCCACACAAGACATTGTATATAGATATTTATGTATGTACGGTGTGTGTGCCTGTATGGTTCTTGTGTCTCATGCGTCGGATGCCTTTTTTTTTTTTTTGTAGTGGCGCTGCTGTTGCTTTTTTTTTTTTTGGTGTTGGCTCTTTCTGTCTATACTTGCGGATGTGTGTGTGTGTGTATGGTTTATTTTCTTCTTTGGTGCTTCGCAGCCAAACGGAGGAGTATTGATATAGGTTTCACCATGGACGGAAATAAGAAGGTTACCGTCGCGGTGCGTGTCCGTCCCATTTTGCGCGATGCCACCAGTCACGCTCACATGCAAGAAAAGTTTGAGCTTGAGGCCGTTCGACGCACCGGGGACACATCACTGAAGGTTGAGCTGCAGCGACAGGGGGAGCCCACTCGAAGCAGCGTGTTCAACTTTGACCACATCTTTGATCAGGAGAGCACCCAGCTGGAGGTGTACGAGGACGCCGTCGTTGATCTCGTGGACGCCGCCCTGTCAGGAGCAAATGTCACAATTTTGGCCTACGGCCAGACGGGATCCGGTAAGACGTTCACCGTGCTGGGCGACGTGAAGCCAAACCCACTTGAAAATGATCTTCTCACGCACGAGAGCGGCATCTTCTTACGCGTTCTAAGTGACTTGACGGAGTACAGGGCGCGGCAGGCGAAGAGGGGCTTCCACGTCGTTATTGGGCTCAGTTGTGTGGAAATATACAATGAAAACATTCGTGACTTGTTCGGTGGAGGCCCGGGAACATCGTCACCCCCGCTGAAGGCCGTCATGATTGGCGACGAGGTGCTTCTCCCCTCTCTCATCACGAAAGAGGTGACTTCGTTGCAGGCAGTCTTTAATGAGATTCAGCTCGCCATATCCCGTCGTAAGAGTCGTTCAACGGAAAGTAACTCCACATCCAGTAGGAGCCACTGCCTGTTCCTCATTGATATTCTGCAGCGGGCCGCTACCGCTCCCCCTCCATCGCTTTCAATGCTGGAGACAAAGAAGGGAGGCAAAGAAAAGGAGGGTAAACGGACCGTGACAAATGGCAGCGGACCAGGAGAGATACCATTCGACGGCACGGTGTACCGTATTAACGGCGAACGGGAGCCTGTCTACGGAAGTAAAATTATGCTGGCAGATCTGGCTGGCAGCGAGAAGATAGCAAAGAGTGGGGTCTCTGGAGAGGGACTGGCTGAGGCCACAGCCATTAATAGTAGCCTTACGGCATTGGGCAACGTTGTCCATAGCCTCTACGAGGGAGGTTATGTCAGCTACCGCACTTCCAACTTGACTCGCCTGCTTAAGCCCACGTTTGCTCATCAAAACTCGCGTGTTCTGCTTTTGTCTCAAGTTTCACCGACACAGTTCACATTTGATGAGACTATCAGTACACTTTATTTCGCCAATAAGGTGAAGGCCATGAAAGTAACAACAACCACCGGCGCGGAGGCAGAACGACTTCTATTTGATTATATGGACTCTGGGAAGATATGCGATACGCTGTTGGCGGATCTTCACATCTTTGAGGCCGAAACGCAGTCAAAGAGTGCCGTCATCCGGAGGAATTGCAGGCAAAACGATGGCTTGTATTATAGCACTGCCACAAATGCCAAAGCAAAGGCTAGTATGAAGGAACGACGTACCTCCATTGAGAACACCGGCGCCCTCCGCTTCGCATCGGAAGAGCGCGACGCACTAATCCGGAAGGCCCAGCAGGAGGAGATGCAAAAGGAGGAAGAGATTCAGAAAAGAGCTCAGGAGTTGGCCAACGAGAGTGTTTTGGAATATTCTAATCTTGTGGCAGAAACAAAGGAGTCCATAGCCAATGAAGAAGCCGCTTCCCAACGTATCTCCCTTCAGACACTTCAGGTGGCGTCAGCGGGAGAGGCCTCTGCCATTCAGACGGAAGAGGCAGCGATGTTTTTGGCCTTGTCGGCGCGATTTGCGAAGGAGCATGTTGCCATTTGCAAGAAACAAATGGCGGCAATTGAAAGCGAACAAGAGGCCATTAGCAAGCAACTCAACGCAATGAGTCTTTCGTCGGTTGAGGTGCCCGAGATTGCGGAGGACAACTTGAAATATGCCCAAGCGTGCTGGGGCCACACGACGGCGAAGAGGTTTTTTGCAAGGTGCATGGAGCTTCGAGAGATCCAGGGACAGTACGCGTTGCTGCAAAAGGTCTGTTTTTCCCTGGGAAAATGGCGGGAGAAGAATAAGGAGTTAATGCCGCGGGTACAGGAGCGGGCGGCGCAGGCTGCCGAGTAGCACTGGGATGGGGCGATGCCGCGGAACGACGGGCCTCTGTTTCATTTGTCTGAGAAGGGACCTAAACTGCTATGTTTTTTTATTTTTCCCTTTTTTTTGCTCTTAAAATTCCGTGACGTTTTGTTGTCGAGCTCCTCTTTTCGCGGGGGAAACGAGACCGCCGGTGAGAAAATAGCAGCGCTGCAGAACCTCCTCCTTCTTCCTTAAAAAAAAAGAAAAAGAAAAAAAACCGAATGTTAACAGTAAAAAGCCAAAAACAGAACGTCAATTAAAAGAAACGGAAGAAAGACACCAGCCACGGGCGAAAAAATTAAATAAGAGGAACTCGCAGACGATTCGAGGCATGCGAGAAGTTTTTGGGTGGCGGTGGTGGGGGAGGGGAACGGGTCCCCCTTTACTACTAAGGATCAATAATCACAGCCTCACGTCCTAGAGGTTGGTGAGCCTGCGTGTGTGTGTGTGTGTGTTTAATGTTAGGGCGGGAAGAAGGGAGGGGTGGAGAAAATAGCCTGTTCTCCCTTCGTCCGCCTGATTTTTGCTGTGCTTGTACCGCTTGTGATTGCATTTTTTCGGGGGCGGAGAGAATGCGGTTCTCCTTTTTTTTTCTTGTTGTTGTTGTCCGGAGTTTCAGCAGCGGAAAGCAATCATGAGGCGGAGTAGATGGAGCACACCAGTGTTGCTTTGGATTTGTGGATTTTTGTGATTTTGGGGCCTTTTCTCAGACCTACTCTGTCTTTCTTGTGAGGATGGGGTCGCCAAGCATCAATCACGATTGCGCTTTTTTTTTCTTTCTTTCCACCTTTTTTGGCAATCAGCTGAGTTCCATGTGAGAGCATTAGAATAAAAGGGTATCTATGGCGTTTTACCGGCGTGCCAAAAGAGCGTCCACGAGCCGATAACAACCGCCAGCTTCTTACTGATCAAAGTGGTCTGCATTGATTTATGAAATGCGGTATGAAACGTCATTAGATGTCGATGAATGGACGACACCAGTTCATTTGTTGCAAGACTGGCGCAAACATGTGGCGTATTTTTTTTTTTTTTTAGGAGTGGTGGTGGTGGGATAGGGTGGCGTCTGACGTTTGGAGAAGTGACGTGAGGCTTCAAGCTGATTCTTTGAGGGCATTGCGTTTTTTCGCGGTAGAGGGTGTGAACGATTGTGCGTTGTGTCCAGCACTTGCCGCTCTTGTGGGGACTGTTCACGCTGCGTGTTGTAGCATGGGAGTACACCGCGTGGTATCAATTCTTAATTTCCGGGACGGGCTGCTGTGCCCTGGGCTATCCGTCGGCTGCAGAAGAGCCAAAATGAGGGGATGTTAAGAAGCTTCGGGGGTCCCTTTTTCTTTTAAACACTTGGAAGGAATGGGCTGATTTTTCTTTCGGTTTTTCCTTTTTCCAATTGTGCATGCGTGACTGCAATTCTTTGGTGGCGTCCTGCCTTTTTTTTTTTTTTTTGTAGGGAAGTTTTTCATCAAACAACTCTGGTCCCACGAAAATATACCTTGGGAGCGACATCTTGACTCCACGCTGCAGGTGGATAACGCGGAGAAAAAAAAAGATTGCTTTCACCCATCTTTTCACACTGACAAGAAAGGAAGAACCTTAAGAGTTAACAACAGTCGCGGAGAAAATATGACTCTGACTTTGCCCAAAGACTCAGAAGAAGCGAAGGCGCTGGTGGGGTCTCTCCGAAGTCACGCTGATAACAGAGTGTGTTTTGACTGCCTACAAAAAAATCCAAGTTGGTGCAGTGTCACGTACGGCATTTTCTTATGTATGGATTGTTGTGGACGCCACCGTGGTATGGGCGTCCATATTTCATTTATTCGATCGGCCGATCTCGACAGCTGGAGGCCGGAGGAGGCTCTTCGAATGGCACTCGGGGGTAACGCGGCAGCCCGGGAGTTTTTCAAGCAACACGGTTGCAATGATTCCAAGATGCGGTACACTTCTCCCGCGGCTCAACTGTACCGGAGGCGGATCGACCGGCTCATGGCGGAGTACATGGGGGGGAGGAGAATGGAGCCGCCCGCCGAGGGACCGAATACGATGTCGGCGGAATCCTCCCCTGTGGAGAATCGAAAGGACCTTGAGCCGACGACTACCGGTAGCCCAGTGGCGCAGCCCTCCGTCATTTCCATGGCACCCAAAACCGGAAAGAAGCCGGGCGCCGCCAAGAGAAAAGGTTTTGGCGGAGCACAAAAGGTGGAGGGAAACATCAAGGAAAGCTCAGATCCGGTCCCTCACTCCCTGCTTCATGACGAGAGTAAGCTGGAGGACGAGGATGATGCGGAGCGGAAGACCTTTGTCCCAGGCGCGTTTTCTCCCGTGAATCCGGCAGATCGTTTCCGTGGAGTGGGCAACCCCGCATTCCAAGCTGAAGCTCCGAGTTGTGACAGGATGAACGGGCCGGATTTTACGGGTCTGGGATCGAGGCCGTACCAACCCCAGGCCACTCGTACAGAAGCTGGAGGTTTCCAGGACACATTGTGGCAGGTGACCGAGGCCTGGGATTCATTTAAGGAATCTGCAAACCGATCCCGCAAAGAATGGGGCAATAGGGTGAGGGAGTTCTTGGATGATCTTTAAGCGTTGCGATGTGGAGGGAGTGATCGGGCTACGCTTTAGGACCGCCTTTTTTTTTTTTGCTTGTTCTCAATGTTTACACACTTCTTCTGCGGCTTTGTATCCGTGTGTGTGTGTGTGTGTTTCAATCTTTTTTTTGTTGTTGTTGATGGGCGTTTCACCATATGAAAAGAGATGAACGTACAATAGATAAACAAAAACGAACAAAAGAGGACGGGCAGTGAGGCCTTTGTGAAAGGCACGTTGTGGTTTTACCATTTTTTTTTTAAATAATTTTCTTCTTTGTTCTAATTATTGTTATTGCTTTTTTTTTTTTTTCCTGTTCCATGCCTTTTGGTTGTTTGAGGGCAATATATTTATAGAGAGCGAGGGGGGTGATGCAACGTGTCAAAAACGTGGTTGGCTGCTTTAGTGGACCCTTCTCCGCAGTTATTAACTTCCAGAAGCAGTTTGTTGATGACGTCATTGTCAATGTAAAGAAGCAAAGTGAGGAAATAAGTCGTCACAACCACGAGCTACAGAATCGACGGGTGCGGCTTCATCTCGATCATCTGGAGGAGGAATATCTTTGCTGCGTTTGCGGCAGACCGGGCGAGGAGCGGGACGCGGATGATGTGGTGTCGGACGAATTCAGCATCGTCCATATGCCAAGCAAAGAGAGAATTGAACAGGCCATTGTAGCCTCTGGGCAGCTGAACCAGGGCGGGTCGGCTTGCGGCGAGGATGGGTTTCAGGCACTGGGTCCTCAGGTCTACGCACTGCTTGGCGTTCTTTCCACGTCTGCCGGGCAGAATACATCGGAGATGGTGGCGAAGGTGCAGCACTGCATTCTCAACCAGGAGGCTGCACGAAGGCAAAAACGGCGGTCGGCGCACCGCGACAAGGGGCTTATGAAGATTGAGGAATCCGATATTGAAATATTTCAACAGTTTTTCAAGCGGCCCGTTCACGGGTATCTGTGCTCGGACTGTCACAATTCGGCAAAAAGGAGGCTGGACGCTCTCACAAGCCAAATTCAGATGATTTTGTTTAAGGGGAAGACTCCATTTTTGCGCAGTGGCCGCGCAGCAGCACAGTGCCAGCGGCCAGAGGCGACAACATCCCCCACGTGGCCCGTTTCGACGGTCGTTATATCAAATTTTTGTGCGAGGACGAGGGAGCACAATTCCACCTATCTTTCCGATGCATCCATCACGCGTCTCCGGGAGAGTTTTCACTGTGCGGTTTGCAAGCGACGACAGGCCTCATTTTTTCTCCGACAGAGCGCCACGTTTCTTTGCCAGTTTTGCTGTTCGAGAGACCGTTTTTATCGTGATAACGCAACCTGCATCAACGACGAGCTCATGCCAAAAGAGACGGCACACTTGCTTGAAAGCTTGGCGCGATGCCAGGAGAAAAAAAAAGATCGAGAAGAACACAACGCATTGCTCGGCAGCGGTGAAGAGCGTGACTTTGGACTTTTTAGGGAGCATAATGCCGTGGATCTCTTTGCCACTCAGCTGCCACCACATGCATCTATTGATGTGAAAGCAGTTCTTCCCCACTCACCATCTCTTTCCGATCGAAGAAGTGTTGCCGGAAACTTGTCTGTTTCACTTTTTAGCGGAAAGAAGTTTCTGCTGAACCTTTCTTCACCTGGGGGATTTTGAGGAATTGTCTTCATTTTCTGTCGCTCTCTCTTGTGTTTTGTACGATGCCGTGGCATTCCTTGGGGTCTGTGCATTTGTTTATACGCCTGTTTTTGTTTTGTATTACAGGGAGTTATGTGTGCATACTTTTTTTTTTTTTTTTTTTTCAGCTTGAGGCTCCACAAAGGGTGGATGCGGGAGGTGTAGAAGGACGATTGGCTTTGGTCCATTCGGGGATCCCCGCGTATGCCGTCGCCGGAATTCAGGCATTACCGCTGAACGAAAGTGAATAACAGTAGAAACAACGACACGTAATTCCGCACAAACTCCCTCCGGTAATGCTATTGGGGCAAGAGCTTGGCATGGCGATGCACACACACGCTTTTTCCCTTTTTCTTTTTTATACCTGAGCGATGTTGGTTTGCGGGGATAATTCCTGCGGTGTTGTGGCTCACTGTGGATGGGTGGCGGTGTTTGTTGCTTTTGCTCTACAACTTTCTGCCGCTGTTGTCTGTTGCTCCCCTCCAAGAATGAAAATAAGCGCTAAACGCTACCGTGAAATTTGAAGGCTCTGAAAGGACCAAAAACACACACCGCCCACACACATATTTACATGCTCTCACGTGTTGCTGCTGTGAAGGTACCCCGCACACACAACCGTTGCCGCGTGACCGGATCCAGCGGAAGGAGGAGGGAAGGAAGAGAGAGCGAGCCGCAGAGGCCCAACATGTCCCGACATCTCTTCTACTCTGCGGTGCTGCTCCTCCTCTTCGTGATGTGGATGTGCTGCGGCCCCTGTGAGGCTGCAGCCGTATCGACGGGTGAGGATTCAGTGAATGCGCGGCTGCCACGGAGATTTGATCTATTTGTGCCGCAGACGACGGTGTTGCTGCCGAGAGGTGGAGGTAATTCAGAGAAGAAGTGGAGTTCATTTGCTTCACCCTCTCTCGTCAGTGCTGGTGGCGTAATTGCTGCCTTCGCCGAAGGTTACCCGAGCTCCAAAAAATCCGCTAACGCATCAAGTGAGTACTCTTCTGATGCAGTTGCTTGGTACATTGACTCTGCGTGGGATTGGTCCACTCTTGTTGCTGAGGTCAAAAAAAGTACATGGCAAGCACACACCGTGCTTGGTAAAGCGGAGGAAAAGGGGAGTTTGGATGTTGTGCTCCGCCCCACAACCACCATGAAGGAAAATAAGGTGTTTCTTCTTGCGGGAAGCTCTGTTTCGTCCAATGTAAGTGAGAGTTGGAGCCATGGCGGCTTGAAACTAAAACTGGTTGTGGGTGATGTCACGAAGCCTTCTGCGGACAGCGAGCAGAGTGGATGGATCAAATGGGGCAAAGCCCAATCACCGTTGAACGAGACCTCCGAAGCTGTTCAAGAAAGAAAATTGACGGGGTTTGTTGCTTCTGGTGGCGCAGGTGTTTTGATGGAGGATGGCACGCTTGTGTTTTCTCTGATGGCGAAGAGTGAAGAAGAAGACGTTTACTCCATGATTATTTACTCGAAGGACAACGGCAGCACCTGGGCGCTCTCAAACAGTGTTTCTTCTGCGAAATGCGTTAACCCCCGCATCACCGAGTGGGAGGGATCACTTCTCATGATTGTTGACTGCGAGAATGGCCAGAGGGTGTACGAGTCGCGTGAAATGGGGGCAACGTGGACGGAGGCTGTTGGGACACTCTTGGGCGTGTGGGTCAAGTCACAATCGGGAACCTCTCAGGATTTAAGCCTGCATGTGGAGGCCCTCATCACCGCGAACATTGAGGGCAGGAAGGTCATGCTGTACACACAGAGAGGGCACGCCTCGGTGGAGAATAGGGCCACTGCGCTCTACCTTTGGGTGACGGACAACAACCGCTCGTTTCATGTTGGACCGGTTGGCATGGACAATGCTGAAAAGGAGGAGCTTGCCAGCAGCCTGCTGCACTCGGATGGCAAGTTGCATCTTTTACAACGGAGGGGCAGTGGTGAAGGCAGTGCCATGTCACTCTCCTGCCTGACGGAGGAACTGAAGGAAATCGAGTCTGTCCTCAGTACTTGGTCGCAAAATGACGTTTTCTTCTCCAGCTTTTCTATACCCACGGCGGGTCTGGTGGCAGTTTTGTCCAATGCGGTCGGTGATGGGAGGTGGGACGACGAGTACCGTTGCCTGAATGCAACGGTTAAGAATGCGGTGAAGGTCGAGGATGGATTTCAGTTGACGGAGCCTAACTCCCGGGTACTATGGCGTGTGAACACTCGGGATGATAATTTGCGGCATGTGTTTTTGAGCCACGACTTCACTCTTGTGGCGACGGTGAGCATCGAAAATGTTCCGACCGAGAAAACTCCTCTACTGACTGCGACGTTGGCGAATACTGAGTCTAATCATACCATGGGGCTGTCGTACACCGCTGATAAGAAGATGGAGACAGTATTTAATAATAAAATAACACCAAAAAGCAGCACTTGGGAGCCGAAGAAAGAATACCAGGTGGCACTCATGCTCCAAGACAAAAAGGCCTCTGTGTACATTGATGGTCGGTCGCTGGGGGAAGGGGAAGCACTGTTAACAGGTGAGAAGTCACTTGAGCTTGTGCAATTCTGCTTTGGTGCGTGCGATCAGGAGTCCAGTCCAACGGCCGCCGGCCAGAAAACTAATGCGAAGGTGAAAAATGTCTTTCTGTACAACCGCCCGCTGAATTCCACTGAGATGCGTGCAATCAAGGACAGGATCCCCATTCCGACGAGAGGCCCGGGATCACAGGTGGAGGGTGGAACGGAAAGGAGGCATATCCCTCGGATTGAGGGTGTGCGAGCCAATGCGCCTGCTGGGAGCGAACTGCTGTCGCTGCTTCTTTTGCTGGAATTGTGGGTATTTGCGGCTCTGTGAGGAGTGTGCGGCCTCAGTGTGGAATACTTGCACCCCCAACTCCTGCACCAACACACACACCGCTAGGAATAAATTTCACTACGCAGAGAATAATTTTTTTTTGTTTTCCTTCTTTTGCTTGTTGTCTCGGGGCAATCACCATGGGCGTTTTCTTTTCTACTCTTCTCTCTTTTAATTGCTTCCTGCTGCACTCTTCCTGTGAGGGGTGCCGTGTGTTCCCCGCCCAACTGCTCCACTCGCACACCACCGACACGCTCGTGACGACGGCCCTGTGCGCCTCGCCTGCTGCACGCATGAGGCGGGGCCGCGACGAACGGCGCGCTGAGGGAGCAGTGACGTGTGGGCGTGCGACGAGGGCCTGTGGGGCGGAGCACACATTTCTTTCCCTCTTGTTTTGTTTTCTTTGCTGCCAGGGCTGGCAGACACCCGCAGCGCCGCACACACACAGCCACACCCTGCCGCCGTGTAGTTTTTTTTTGCTTGTTTTTTGCTTTGCGCGTGCACTTCACGCGCTGGCAGTCCCTTCGGTGTCGGTCTTGTGAGCATTTCTCTCCCCTCCGATGATTTCTTTTTCTTTTGCTGCGCTCACTCTCCCGATGGAGTGACGCGACTCCCGTCATGTCTGCGTGCTTCCCTCAGTCCCCACACACACGAGTGACTGTGCTCTGCGGGCCGCACTCACGCGCCGATGAGAGGGCTGAGGGGAGCAGCAACACGCCGATGACCCCATGAAATATAAACGATGTGCGGACACATGGAGGGTCGGACGGTTGAACGACATGTAAAAATCTTTTTAATTTTCTTTTTTCGGGCAAAATATATGCAGACAATTTCTGGAGCAACATGGTAGTTGGGTGCTTTTTGTGTGTGTGGGTTTTCTTTTTCTTTTTTTTTTTCATTTTTTTTTTCATTTTTTTTCCAAATTGTGAGGGGTGGAGGGGTGAAGATGAATTTTTTTTAATTTTAATAAATCTTGTATGAATTGCCGCTGCTTTGTCTGCAGTGCAATATCATGAGCTTGAGCACTCTTTTTTCCCCTATTTCCGCCATGCGTCTCTGCTGTACATTTTTTTTTGTGCGTCCCTCCACATACTCTGCTCCCTCTTTTTTTACTTCTTTGCTTCGTGTGTCTGCAGGCAAACACACATGCACGCACAAGATGCACATTGCAGTGGATTTGGATGCTTCTTTTTTAGTGCGTGCTGGTGGCTGGCGCCTCCTTCTGTGGGCATGAAGGGAAGGAGGAGAGAGGGAGTTTGCACGGCGAGTCACTTTTCCTGCAGGCGTGATGCACCACCTATGACCGCTTTGAGTCGGGCATCAAATTCCATTGTGGGTGGAATGGCTGGAAATGTTGTTGCCGCGTCATTGATGGATGAGGAATCGCTTCTGCGTGTGGCTCTTTGAGAGCTCACTTCGTGTGCGCTCTGTGTTGGCTGCGGGCTGTGGCCGTATCCCGTTGGCCGTGGGATTGAACTGGAGGCAGTGGCGCTGTGTCTCTTCTCATCTTCCATTCTGGGTGAATGCTTGCGGCGTGTGCCTTCCTTTTGTGGATGCTGTTTTGCGGTGTGTGCACTGTGCGATGGTGTGTCTTCTGTGGGGCGCCGCATCCTCCTCCTTGTGCGCGCACCGACAGCGCCGCGACGATTTGTGTGTGTGTGTGTGTGCTTTCCCGCATTGTTGTGCGCCTGGCTGTTGTCTTGTGTTTTGTTCCAATCAGAGGCAGGAATGAAAATGACGTTTCTGTCGGCATGTCTCCCTCCATCCTTCATTCTAAAAAGTGTGACGCCCGATGATTTGGATAAAGTGCTCTGTGCACCCCTGTTTTGTTTGGTCATTGCGGCTGCAGTGGGACTCTGCGGCTGCGTGTTCGTCGCACGTGCCGCATCGTCCACTGTTGCTCCCTCGTTGTGTTGGGGGAGTCGACGAGCGACGGCTTTGGTGGAGTGGCGCCCCAGTTTGGGGAGGAAGGCACCAACCTCTGCTGAATGCGACAGTCTTTGCTGCAGGCAATCTGGAGGGATGATGTCGTTGTTGCCACGACCAACTGAGATAGACGAGGACCGCACTGCGTCTTTTTCCGCTTTCTTCATCATTGCAGTTTTCTGTAGACACACGCACCGCACGGCAGCGACGCGACCACCAT